ATTCCCCAGCCAGCCATGTCCACTCATCTTAAAGTGGCCAAGTTTGGACAACACTGGTTTATAGGATGTTCATCTGCATGAAATCAGGGGCAATGAAATTGCTCCCAAGGACGCTGAAATCCTGCACTAGAATTAGGAGGGCTGCTGGAGAGAAACGCCAATAGCTTCATTATGCGCCGGAATGAAAGCTTTTCTTTCCACCCTGAACAAGACGCTCGCTATTTCTGTTTCATAAATCACAAACCGCATCTCGTCCATCTGGAGCGATCGAAGGAAGGTCGGACCGGCGGAGCCCCCGGGGGACATCAGGCCGACAATTTCCATACTGTGGCCAGAAATCTACCGGACCACAAAAGGACGGATTGGCTGAAAGGCAGATTTCACGATTTCCTGACCAACGAAGCAGCGTCACCACGCTGGTGGCCAGCCTCTGCCTTGACTACTCGTTACGGATTCTAGCTCAGACCGTTTGCATCTATCGCGGATACTCTGGCGCGGCCAGTGCCCACTACAGCTCCTATAACCCTCAGCCAGTGGCCATGTTGGCTGGAGGTTCCAGGCAACCGGGGGTGATGGGAGTTGTAGTCCAACCTATCTGTCGAAGAAAGCTGAACTGTGGCATTTGGGTGTCGTTCCAGGACTTCGGGCACCATCCAGGGAATGCGGAAAGGGTTCCATTTAACGTAGCGCAGAACGAAATAAAGAGAAGCAGAGAAAGCTGACGCTTCAACGGTGTCAAACTGGGTTTCGCTCCAGCTTTTTTTCCTTTACCTGATGAACGGCCGGGATATAGCCAGCACCGTCCGAATGAACCAGGAAGGGTGAACGATTATTAACGCTTTCAGGTTTTTCCGTAACCTGTGAAAAAATGGAGACGATGCACTTAAAAAAAACCTAGGTTAGAGCAGTTATGCTTCAGTGACATAACAGTTCTGCACCACTGTGAACCTTAAAAGAGAGCCAGTTTGGCGCCGTGGTGAAGGCACCAGGCTAGAAACCGGGAGGCTGTGAGTTCGAGTCCCGCCTTAGTCACGGAGCCAGCTGGGCGGCCTTGGGCCGGTCCCTCTCTCGCAGCCCCAGGAAGAAGGCGGCAAGGGCAAGCCACTTCCAAAAATCTGGCCAAGAAAACTGCAGTCGCCAAGAGTCAAAAACCGACTTAAAGGCACCAACCCCCCCCACCTTAAATCTCTCCAGGGCTGGCTATGTCTGCTTTATTTTCTGTCTCTGAAAAGAATGCGGATGGCTGGATGTACACATCTGCAGTATTCATATTTACTTCTTTATTTAAAAAATGATCTGCCATTTGTAGAAAGCTGTCATCAATAAAATTCAGGATAGCAATTATAACTGCAAAAAATCTGTGTAATATAGCACTCTAAAAGGTCTTTTATACAGGTTAAAAACATGTCTCTTTTGAAACCCTCCCTAAAGGATGCCGGGAACTCCAACGTCTCTCTGCAAGTTGCCCCTGAAAAGGCAGAATCGGTTGATGTCAAAATGCATCCATGGGGGGGACTTGCGAAGGGAGCCCCTTCAGGACTGGACAGCGGGGGGCAGCCTGCCAGCGCCGGTCAGTATAGGGCACCCCCTGCAGATTCAGACCAGGAATTGCCTTTAAAGATCCTCCCATCTGCGGTTCAACCCTGCTTAAACTGCAGCTCTGGCAGCTGAGACGATGATCCTCTTGGTCCACCCACAGTTCTTCCAGACAAAGCTTAACTGGCGAAACAATGGACTGATTCGGTGCCATCCAGGCATTTTCGACTCCTAGCACAGCATGATTTTCCCTTCAATGCTGGGCACAAACGGAATGTTATATGTCAGTGTGTATGTACTGTATATCTATATATAATTATATACAGATATTGTGTATGTATATCTATATATAATTATATCTATATGATAATTATACATAGATATATCTATATAATTATCAACCAAATTTGCATAGCTGCCCATCTCACAGAAAAGCAACTGGGTGGCTTACAACAATCCAATAAAAACAACCCATACATAAACAATCAACATAAAAAATATAAAAATGAATGTTAAAAGATAAATATGATAAAAAACAAATAGCAAACCCTGGGCAAGAGAGAGCAAGGAGAGCTAACTCAGCCACAGAGCCATCTGAGCATCTCCCCGGTCCCCTGGGAGCCCCAGGCCAGGGGACATAACCAGGTCTGGATGGACTTCCAGAAGGTCAAAAGGGATGGAGCTAATCTAATATCGGGGGGGGGCGGAATGTTCCACAAGGCGGGCCCCATGGCAGAGAAAGCCCAACACCTGGGACCCGCTTAATATTAAAAACTTTATGATTATAAAAAGCACAAAACTAAAACAGAATAAAAAAGAGAATAGGCCAAGAGCAGGTGTTCGGTACACGGGAGCCATCTCAATATTTCGCCTATCCCCGGCTTCCCCTGTGTCAGGCCCAGCCCAAGAACAACAGGGGAACAGTCCAGCCCAATCCAGTTCCTTTATTGCTTGCACCGCGTGGAGAGAACCTTGCTGGACTACACCTGCCCTACTCTAACCTAGTGGATCTACCCCGGGAGAGTCGAGGGAGCGGCTATCCTGAACCTCTTCCGCTTCCCGCGCTCCTGCTCCGGACTGTGTTGTCTCTTGTGCTCCCTGAGAAGCTGCTGCGCTACGGCCTCCATCACATCACCTCCCCCTTCAGGTCTGATGGCACCACCAGGTTTGGAGGGACCTTTGGAAAGTCAAAAGGGATGAAGCCAGCCTCACTTCGGGGTGGGGGGACGATGTTCCATAAAGCGAGGGCCACAGCAGAAAAGGCCCGTCACCTAGGGCTCGCCAAATGAAGCTCCCTAGCAGACAGACCCACCGCATGCCCTCTCTGCTGGACCTGGTGGGACGGGCAGATGTAATCAGGGAGAGGCAGCCCCTCAGATAACCCAGCCCTGTGCCACGTAGGGCTTCAAAGGTCAAAACCAGCACCTTGAATTGGACCCAGAAGCACACCAGCAACCAATCCCTGTGGAGCAGAGATGCAACACGCACTGTTCTAGGAACGCCTATATATTTTTTTAATTGTGGCCGAAAGACCCGATTAAAAATGCCTTACTCTGAGGCGAGCTTGTGGCCGGATGCCAGCCAACCCCATTTAAAAAAAAGGGACTGAAACACTTTGATGTGAGAAAAGACTGGCGCTCCCCCCCCCAACTCAGGATAGATCATCGCAACTGCACCAGCAAGAGTGGGGGGGGCAACTCCCAGCTCAGCTTAGCAGCCCGTTTTTGGGGAAGGGACCGCTCCTTACCGTCGGTCGATCATTTGGTAGCACTTTTTCAACCAGCCGATTCCTGGCATTCTCCTCCGCGGAGTGGCGCCGTTCAAATATACAATCATGTAGTCCTCGGCGACCAGCAGCTCTAAACTACTGATCACGTATCTTTCAGCAGGAAGAGAGGAAAAAAAACCAAGGTGAGGAAAAAGCGTGTCTATCCAGGTATATCAAAGGATGCAAGGTGGGGGGTGTCTTTTTAGATCAGGGTTTCTCTACCTTAGCCACTTTAAGACGGGTGGACTTCAGCTCCCAGAATCCCCCCCCCCCCACCCCCCTGTGGTGGGGGTTTGGGTGTGGATGGGATGC